TGTGCAATTTTCCCTTCAAACGCTTCAAGTATGTTGTTGGTATTTTTCTCCTCAAAATAGTCGGTTTTGCTTTCCTGCACTGTGAATAAGGTTAACCAGTCGCTGTCCACTCAGCTAACGATCATTTTAATGCCGTAATAAAGTGATGGATCCATCCCTCACTTAGCTCAGAATCATTAACGGTAACTTTATCACGTTAACAGCTAAATCACGCAATTTTACTTATCGATCATTCAAAACACATTTGTAGATTTTTTGCTCTTTTCTCATCATCGATGTCTCTACGACCGCATTTGAATTCTGCTTATCGTCTTCATTGTTTCTGATGGTTAATGCAATGAAACTATCGCCATCTATGTGTTAGGCCCGATGTAGTTGTATGTGCCAATGATGCGCAGATGAGATCAATCGATATTCTAATTGGTACAGTAAAATTGTTTATCGTTTCGATTGTTTTCTGGTTACTAATTAGCCCATGAAGTAGGTCAGAGACCAACCTGTGCCATATTCCATTTACTTGAAATTCTATTCATAGGTGTCTTTGCTTAGATTAACAAGAAGTTTGCTTTTCTCTCCGACACGTGGACCAGGGACCGAACTATTCGAAAAAATCGTAGTTATGGTTCCATGAACTTGAAATTCAGTTTTGCGAAAAAATCATATAAATAATCCTGATTGCTTGAACATTTTTTTCGGGAAGTGGATCGTCTTTTCTTTAATTACACGTATGATTTGCTCGATTTATTTAAATTTTTAGATGATTTGATCCTGATCATGGATCAGAGGCCTGAAACCAAGTTGGATTTTTACGAAAATTTCCATACTTCCCTTCTAGAAAGAAGATAACAGTACGCCAGATCGATATACAAGCATAGTGAATATATATATATATATATCGGTGTACAACTTTGCTTCCGCCGTTTTTTTCCCAAAATTAAAAGCTTTATTGCGAAAAAGTGCTTACAGATATATTATTCAAAGTATTGTTCTTTGCTAGCGACAACTTTTTCCCATCTTTCCGGCAGTTTTCGAATCCCGGCTCGAAAAATGGAGTCCTCTTTTGACGCTATCCATTAGGCAATCCACTTTTTCAATTCTTCGAAGGTTTAAAAATGTTTATCTGCCAGGCCGTGTGCCAGCGAACGGAATAGGTGGAAGTCAGAAGGGGCGACATCTGGGGAATACGGCGGGGTGGGGCAAGACTTCCCATTTCAGCGTTTCCGGGTACTTTTTGACCACTTTTGCGACGTGAGGCCGAGCATTGTCGTGTTGGAGGATGACATTGTCATGTCGCTCTTCATATTGTGGCCGCTTTTCTTTAAGCGCCCGACTAAGGCGCATCAGTTGCGTTCGGTAGCGATCTCCTGTGATGGTTTCACCCGGTTTTAAGAGCTCGTAGGAAATCACACCTTATCTTTGAAGGTTTTTTTCTCTTCCACCACCTTTTTTGTATTCGACATCGAAATCACCATTTTTAAAACGTTGAAACCACTCCCGACACGTTCTTTCACTCAGAGCAGCATCACCTTAAGTTTCTGAGAGCATTCGATGCGCTTCAGCTGCATTTGTTTTCGAATTGTAGAATTGAGAATTAGACACATAAACGGACATTTTCGAGCGTGAATAAAACGAAAACAAAAACAACTGTCACTGAAACGGCGATGACAATTCGTTAGGCACTGTCCACACTCACTTTAAAGGCATTATCATCTATGTATTTCAACCAGCCTCAGCCGGTACAGCCACCTATCGGTAAACGGCGGAAGCAAAGTTGTACACCTGAATATATTTTTTTATAATTTAAAAAGCCAGAGTAGGATTCAATCCTATGTCCCTTTCCAAAGTAGCACGCACTGCCGGTTAATGATGGATGACCATTGCATGCCGGTGTGCTGGTCCTGCAGTGGCTCATTTAGTTTTGTCTGCCCAACCGATTTTTCAACGCATTTTCGTCAATTGTATGCAATATAGCGACTTCAATCGTCTCCGGATGGCTTTCCTCTCAACTCACTGTACGAGTTCTTTTGTTTGAATATGAATTGGTTTGGCAAAATCGCTGCACAAATTGATCCACAAGCTGCTTGGAAGATGGTTGTGTCTAATTTTCTTGCAGCTGTAGCTGAAAACTCACCATTTTAAAAAGTATGATTTCAATATTTCCCAACTTTTACTGCATATTTGATGCATAGAGAATGTCATTGACGATGTCGAAACATCTAAACAGTCCACTTTTGAAATCAAACTGGGGATATATTTCTGATCATAAAAAAAAACAACAAATAGGGAAAAAACGTATAACCCTTTATAAAGGGTAACCCAAAATTAACTCAATTAACACGGACAGTTTAGGCTTGATAAAAATGGGGCGTTACACGATAGAAGAACTAGTCTTCAATATTGAACAATATTTCGAAAATCATGAAAGCATACCGGGCGGTTCGAAAATTTCATACAGAAACTGAGTAGTTCAATTGACAATATCGAAACAGTGCGTGAGAGTATCGATGACAAGATGACAGTTCTGGAACATTAACTCGCCGTCATGGACAAGTACTGCAAATTTCAAGAAGCTTCATTTATTGTACTGTCACTAAACGTCTCCATGCTTACTGAAATCAATTAATGCAACGACTGTAGCCGAATAATTATGCAGAGTAAAGAGAGTTTGTTGAATGGGTTATTGAGCATCAATAAGTGGATGCTGATTTTTTGAGTAAAATCAGTGATGAAGCACATTTTCACCTTGATGTTTTGAGTACCCACGGGTGTTTGCTACTATTTAGTGTGGATTTTTGGCTATGCCACCAGCCATATCAAGGACCATATTTTTTTGAAAGTTAGGCTGGTCAAACAATGACTACTACTGGTGCTCGATAGCACGACATGATTGCCCAGACCTTTTTGCCGAAAGTTGATATTATTGTTGTGACTAATATGTGATTTCAACAAAGCGGTGACACATGTCACAGAGCGCCTGAAACACTTCAATTACTGCAGGAATCATTTCCAGGTCCTATTCTCTGTTGTTTTGATGATTGGAATTTTACCCCTAGATCGTGTGATTTAACACCATTTGTTGCTGATTAAACTTAAGATTTTCATTTATTCAATTTTACATTTATGTTCTTAACCTTCATTTACTTTAAAACATTACTGAATTTTTTAAATATGGTATCACTTTAATTTATTTCGTTAAAAGTTTCAAATTTTAACGAAGCGTTCATATATGCATTCATATACTTCATTTTAAATTTAGTTTGTACAGAACGTTTGAAGAAAGAAAAACGAAGAGTAAGTCTTTTGAATTGTTAAAATAGTTCTTTATTTAAAATAATTTGATTTTAGATATTAAAACTGTGCTGTTGATTTGAATGTAAAAACTCAATAAACCGCTTGTTTGTAATACTCGTTTAAGTTGATATTCTTTCGAACGTTTATTTGCTGCCGCAACACCATTAGATTGCTTTTTATGGGGCTATTTAAAATCACGTCTTTTGTAATAAACCCTCCTTTTAGGCAGCAGATTCAATGTTGCGTCAATGAAATTCAGCCAAATTTATGCAGAATACTTATGGAAAAATTCGACACGCTAGTGTAGTGCGTTTGGGTATGGAAAACCCTGGAGGTCATTTGCACGATGTGCTATTCCATAAATAACCCTGACCTACATATGTACTTAATGATTCCATAAAAAAATTAAAATCGAAAAAATAAAAGCTGTATTTCCTATTTAATTCCTATTTAATTGAATATTGCGTTAATTTTAGGACACTCTTTAATTAATTAGTTGGTCGGCCGCAGCCGCCGAGTAGTTAACATTTCGTACTGCCATTCAGAAAGCTCGAGTTAAAAATCCTGGTGTCGTCCTAACATCCCAAAACTAGAACTAGAAAATTAATACAAAATAAAAAATTAAGTTAAATTTTCTACAATAATTGCGGTCGCCCCTCGGCAGGGAATGTCAGCCACTCCGAGTGTATTTATGATATGAAATAAAGGCTCCTCATAACAAACCCATCAGCCGTTCGGAGTCGGCTTAGTATAAACTGTAGGTTCCTCCCTTTGTTGGAAACCCACAAATTGGAGGAGGAGCTCGGCCGAGAATCGCTTAAGCGGTTACAAAGCACCCTTTAGATATATATATATATATATATATATATGGATTTCGGCAATGCTCCTCCGAACGGCTGATGGGTTTATATATTGTAAATATATATATATAATGTGGTTACATCGCTATTCTTGAATTCGGCGCTTTCTCAAATATTTCGGCTTATTCCGTCAGGGTTGTTTTTCGCACTATTCGTTTGAGGGCAATTGTTTTTTCGAGCTCATTTAGTTTAAGTTTTTCGACACTAATTAGGTACACGCGAAAGACGATATTTATATGTACATACACACCTACTTACCTAAAGGTTTCCTTTGAAGGGTGTAAACCGAAATGCTGAAATATATAATAAAAATACATTTATCACTTTACTTCTTAAGGGAATCTGAAATGGGCTCAAAGAGGCTTTAGGAAATATTTCGTGAATATCTACAGTTGGTTGTAGGAAATATATATGTATATGTAAGTGTATGTGTGTATGTGAATAGTATATCACAGCAATCGTTCAGTGATATTTACTTTTTTTTAAACTATTATTTAAAAAAGACTTTTAACAGTCACGCCTGCTTAAATTAATACCCAATAAAGACAGCTTTCAGCAGCAGCCGACAAACTTGAGAGCCGAAATTAAAGCTAATGATCTAGAGGAAGTTGTAATATAGATAATTATAGCTAATAAGGTGTTTAAAGTGTAACTCGTGGGTTTATGGACAACAAAAAAAAATATATGTACATATAGTAATAAATGTATGTACGTGTATGTGTTAAAATACATGTCATTTAGGTTGCCAGAGTCATACAAAAATATTAATTAATATACATAATATCAATTTAGTGTACAAATATTTAATTTTCAGTTTTATTTATTTTATATATGTATTTCTATTTTAAGGATGTACTCAACATACGTTTGGACAAGCGTGTGGACGCTATGCTTGAGCAGGGCTTGTTGCGTGAAATACGTGCATTTCATAATGAGCATAGCATTGATAAAAGGTAAACACATATAATATTTCATCTTCCCTTTAAATATTATACATACATATATGTACATCATTTTAAAAAACTACTTATACTCACTTGTACACTTAATTAAGAAGAAGACTGTAACATATATACATGCATGCATACACGTATGTACAGTATTTAAATATGTTAATATGAACAGCAAAAGGTACCGTCACTAATAATCATTAATCATTTTAATCTTTCGATAATCTCGGCATAACTTACATACAAACATTTTAGTTATGCTTTTTGATGTAAATATGTCTGGCTTAACACTTACATAGACATGCTTATGAGCAATAAATAAAAATTTTATTTATATGTTATAGTTATTTAGACAATTTCATACAATTTCACAAGTTCAACATATGTGCACACGCGTACATTGCTAGTTATATATATATACATACATACAGTTGCAAATACTCATTAAATATTCTATGCTCTAGTAAAACTGACAATGCCACAACGTACACCCGTGGCGTACTTCAAACAATAGGCTTCAAAGAATTTATCCCCTACTTGGAGCAGTACAACGCGGCAAATGATCAGAAAATTGAAGAGTACTTGCGTTTGAATGCGTATAAAATGCCAACAGAAGGTAATTGAATACAATGATTTCGGTTTCTTTTTCTCCATCTTCTCCGCTTAATGACACTTAATTTTTGGCATTTTTTGATATATGTTACATACCTACATTTCGTTACACTTCAAAAATTGTGTGGTAATTTTCAAATAACTTTTGTTTTTTATTTTTCGTTCATTTACTTTAATTTTGTATTTATTTCTTTTTTATAATTTTATTTTTTCCCTTTTATTTTTGGTTTAATTTATCTGACTAAGTTTTTTAAATTAATTAATTTTTTTATATATTATAATATTTATTTTATTTTTTGCATATTATTTTTTTTATGTAATTATACTAATATTAAATTTTTTTAACTTTATTTGATTTAATTTTTTATTTGAGTTATTTATTTTAAATATTTTATTATTTTTATACATATAATTTATTTTACGTTATTTAATTATACTTCTTTCTATTTATTTAATTTTTTTTTTTATTTAATTTTATTTTATTATATTTTATTTTATTTCATTTTATTTTGTTTTATTTTTTTTTATTTTATTTTATTTTATTTTATTTTATTTTGTTTTATTTTATTTCATATTATTTTGTTTTTTATTTTATTTTATTTTCCGTTTAATTTAGTTCATTTTAATTTATTTATATTTATTGTATTTTATTTTATTTCAGCTTATTCTATAATGTATAATTTGATTCTTTCGTTTTTTTTTTCATTATTTCATTCAATCAATGAATTATAAATTTTTCGCATGTAAATTATTCAGTTATCAAATACAATTTATGCGCACAAAAGTCCTTCAAAAAAATCTAAAATATCAAATTTTCCCACACGCTTAACTATTCATAAAAGCTTTGTAGTGAAGCCATCACTTTTTCTTTCTATTTATTCACTATTCTTCGTTTTCCTTTCTTAATTTCATAATAATATAATCCGCATGCAGAGCACTTCAAAGCACAAAAGCCGAGTTCAATAAACGCAACACAGGTTCGGAAACACAAAGTAGCGGCGCAAAGTCAATCAGAGCACGAAAGTGATAGAGAAAATGAATTTGAATTGGGATCAGCGACAAATCCCAATAATACAACATCGACTATACCTCTGCCCGCTGGCCTCGATGTGCTTAACTCGTGCTTGAATGAACTGAAACTAGTTACCCAGCGTTACTCCAAGAAGCAAATAAAATGGATAAACAATCGTTTCTTAGCCAGTAGGGATCGTCAAGTGCCCGATTTGTATGAACTCGATACTAGTGATGTTAAATTGTGGCAAACAGAAGTGTACGAACGTGCTGTAGCCATCATCGAATGCTATCAGAGAGGTGAAATATGTGAGATACAACCGATGCCGAAACGTGAACATCCAAGTGCAGGACTGAATGAGGAGGTAATTGCAAAAGTGAAGGAGATAAGGAAAATATAATTTATTAAGAAGCTAGAAAATTTATTTACATGTTCAGAAATGTAGCAAATGGTTTAATTACCGTTAAACTCACACAATTTCATTTATGCTTTCTTATATTACATTATTCTACTTTTAGACAAGCAACTACTGTACAGTCTGCGAACGTCAATTTATTGGGGAATACCAATGGCAGCTCCACTTGAAGTCAAATAAGCACAAAAAGCGTAAGGAATCGCTTAAAAAGAAGGAGCGATCAAATGTAGTGCCACTTGGAACTAATGCTGAAGACTTACAATCATAATTGGTTTTATATCTGTACATATTGTATATAAAAATTTTGAATGAAGTACAATAGTTCTAAAACAAAAATTGTCTTCTTTACTTCTAACGGTTTTTATAAGTAAAATAAGCCCAGATTTGACTCTGTGACGCATTAAGCTCAGTCATGGAAACTCAAAGTTTTGCGAGCTGTTTTCTAAGTTCCTGGTGAGTCATTGAATAAAGGCTCATTAGTAATGCATTAAAGGAAGCTTAAAAGAGCTTCATAGTTCATAGTGAAAAAAATTAAATTTTGGTAAATTAAAATCAATGGAAAATTTCTAGCGGTTTTTTTCTACTCTTCTAATGTTTCTAATTGGGTGTCTCGGATTCGAAAAGGTAGAAAAATAACTGGTGAGTTGAAGATTGCCGAGTCGCGATGAAGAGAAAACGGATTGCCTACCTAACAACGTTAAGATCGACCACTAGGCTATCGAGAATTGAAAAGGGAGACAAGACGCATGGGCAGACAAAAAAGTAAACGGCTAAAATTCCTGAATATGAAGACTTGACAAGCTGGCCGACCAGGGAAATGCTCGAAAATTCTACGAACCAAGATACGGCGACTCACAGACTCTTGTTGTACACAGAGAAGTGATATATCGATTGATGCTCAGAATTTACTGAATTTATGGAAGGAAAGTAAAACACTCGGAGATGGCGAGCCCGAATCTACAAATAAATGATAATGGAATAGACGGCGCGATGAGGAAACGCATTTTTCCTAGAAGGTGTCGAACATACCTTTCCCCCTACTCCAGAGTGTAATGCGTATCCGTGCCCATTTGATAGTTCGCAGTCAGGGGCGTCCGACTGTATTCTAACGGAGCCTCCCGGACACCGGTCCATCTCCGGGAGTAATGGTGACTTGCCGCGGCATTGGGCTCTGCCGTCGTCGACCGTTTCCTTTCCCCTTACCATTTTTCAGGTCACGGAAAGGTGTCAACTCGGTAGGAGACCAAAGAACCAGATGAAATGTCGAAACAAAATTTAACCTCGGATGCGTGCACGGAAAAAATGCAGCGGCGTAGCAAGAACGTTCATTCTTCGGAACCGCATCGACGAGGCCGAAAGGGCCTACACGGCCAACCTCTTCAACCAACACACTTCGGCCTTCGGGACCCGCGGGGGTCAATGGGAGGGAGGGAGGGTAAAAATGCCAGCTGTGTTCCTTTAGGACCATCTTGACAAGCCTGCATAGGGCAAAGCACTACAGGAGAGAGGGGCCAGCGCAAAACCCTACACGGGAAAGGCGCCCAGCCCCAATCCGCTGAATTCCGCTAAATCGTCTGAAGCAACAGAAGCAGGTGACTAACGGCTGTGCTGCTCCAAAATCATTAGGCCCTCCGTCAGGTCCCAAGATAGTGGAAAAGCTGAATACACACGATGCTGGTTTACGTCTGTCCACGTCAAAGTACATGCTCAAACTAGCTTTTACTACAGAAGCTAACTCAAGATGGTTGAACGAGATCACGTGTAACGTAACCCAACCGCTATGGCCAAAGCTGGACGCTAAAAAATCAAAACATCTTATCCTTCTGGACCGGTTATGCTAATGGAGGCATAACGACGGGCATTATAACTGGGCACTGTTCAATGGGGCTTCACGGAAAAATAATTGCATTTCATTCTAATGATTTCTGCCGCAGCTGCAAGGATGAAAAAGAGGAGGAGACCATTGAGCACTACCTCTGCCACTGTCCAGCCATGACATCAGTGTGATACAAATTTCTTGGGAAACATTTCTTCCATTGTCCCGCTGAGATAGCCTCAGCGAATATTAGAAATCACGTTACCTTTATAAAACACACGAAATGGTTCGATCATCTGAGAAGGTGAAGGCAGGAGCCCTAACGGTATCACAATGGGCTTATTGACCTAAATGTGTTGGTAACATCAGCCGCATCAACTCAACTCAACTCCACTCTACCTGACTATGTCGAGCTTCGAATAGCGAGTGCGCACTTAATAAACAACAAAGCGGCTGAAGCCGATGGTCAGACGAAAGCATGCCCGACGATTGAAACCTAAGTGTGCTCTGCCCAAACCACAAAAAGGGCGCTCTCACAGTCTGCGCCGATTGCCGTGAGATAAGCCTCCAAAATCTCATAATAGCTTAGCTATCGACCAGATCTTATCAGTGTGGCGTCAAATTTAGGTAAAGATCCGAGAAAAGAGGATCGACATACACCATCTCGACGCCGCGATGTCTAAATTCGGTATCCCCGCAAAATTTATACGACTGTCGTTAAGCAACGGTAAAAGCTCTGTTGGGATCGAGAAGGACCTCCTTTCAAACCATTCGATACCAAACGAGGTTATCGTATGATTTCTTCAAATTGATGCCAGAGATATCAATAAGAGCTGCTGAGCTAAGCAGACTGCTAGCGTATGCCGGTGACATAGATTTCATAGACCTCAACAGCCGCGCGGTCAGTTCTGGCCCATCCAAAAGCGAAGCAAATGGGTGTGGTAGTGGACAAGGACAAGACGAAATATCTGCTGTCCTCAAACAAATAGTTGGTGCAGTAATCGCTCGGCTTTTACGTCACTATTGATTTTCATAACTTTGAGATCGTCAATAAATTCGCCTATCCAGGACCAGTATTGCCAGCAAACAACAATATGGTTGGTAGGTTTGGACTGCAAAAGAAAATTTCTTGGTATCTCCAATTGGCGTCAAACAGCGAAGAGTAGCAACAATGTTGTTGATTCGGTTATAATCGCTTGAGCGATGCCTACACCAATGAAGAAGAAGAATAAAAACTGCAGAGTAGAGAAAAAAGAATATTCTCGCATTAAGGCAACCCAGTCGTAAGAAGCATCCAAAAGTTCATGCCACAGTTGGGGTTTTATCCAGTTCTATTACCCAAAAACTATTTTAGGGAATATTTTTGCGACTACAACAACAAGACAAGAATAAAAACTTATTTTTCCTTAATTACTTATCCTTTATTAATTCAATAAGTAGTTATTTTTTCGTTTTTATTGTCCTCAGTACATAGTTGGTATTTTAGTAGATATTTCACATTTTTAATTTTTTTATTTTTTCACTTTTTATTTTTATTTATACAATTATATATAAATACATCATTTTTAAATTGCTTTCGTTTATAACTTATGTTTATTTGTATGTATGTATGTATGTTATGTGTAGACAGAGGAATATATGTATGTATATATATAAATATGTATAGGATTATATATACATATGTGTATGGTTTGTAGGTAGGTTTGTATATATAAAATTTCCAACAACTAAATGAATTTAACTAAGCGTTTAAAACAACAATTTTTTTTTGCATAGTTAAATAAATACATACTATATAAATATGTACAATATACAAACAAAGCTTAATATATATATTAATCTTCATTAAAAATATTAACAATTGAATATATATATGCATACATACATCTTTAGTATATGTTTAAAAGCAATTAACACCTTAATGCATTTTAAATCGATTGGCTACGTGGTACATTTGCGTGTAATTTTTTTACAACAGCATATGTGTGTGTGTGAGTTTTGTGTTGGCGGTAGAGTATTATTTTAATCTCAACATCAATAACAATTAATAATATTCAAATAAGCAATCTCTATAATATATGTATGTATGTTTATGTATTATTGAGGGTATATTATATTACATATATATACGTTTCGTGTATACATACATATATAGTATATGTCTGTGTGCATGTATTCCCTCGCAGTTTTTATATTATATAATATTTATCTTTAAAAATAATTAATTTGATATAATTCCGTTTATTTCTTAATAATTATAACTATATGTATATAGGGAACCATACTTATATAATATATATGAATTATAATATTTTTTTTATATTTTTTTTTTTTATGTTTTGATTTTTCATTTCTTACGAACATCAAGATGATTTGGTTATAACAAATATAAATGCGAATTACAAATACAAATGATGATAAAATACAATAAATATTTTAACAAACACGCAACGTGATTAATTAATTTGCCGACTTACGTGTAATGGCAAATATTATATACCTATGTATGTATGTAAGCGGAGCTATTTGGTACTGTTGATTGATCATTAAGGATATTCTGTTTTAGGTACTCGTAAATATAATAAAATGTTTTATATTAAAAATGTAACAAACGAAATACGATTTAATAACATTCAAATATATATAAACAAATTCATATACACATATATACCATAATATATATTTATTTACTTCTATTTATTGTCATTATTTATTTTATGAATTTACAAAGTGTGTGTGATAGAATACTGACAGGTTTCGAGTCTTCAATTGTTTGTAGGTTTGTAATAAGTATGATCACATGTACGTTAGTATTTAGTTAACAAGAGAGAGAGAGAGAGAGCGAGATGCCAATATCACTGTAACAAATGCACTGCTATTGAGGCGAAATCAAGAACAGATTGGATGGCATTTTATACAATAGTTGTGTTCTTTTTTGGATAGCTGCTAGTTAATAGTATTTGTTAATTTTTAATAACATTAAAACGAGTGCCTAAAATATTATTGTTATATTAAAAATTAAATTAAGTAAATAACAACAGATATGCATATTAAAAGATCTCGACAACATTTTGAACCAATTTTAAAATATTATAAATCAGTGTCATTTCGCTAACAAGAAAAATAAACTCAACGAAATGAAATCGTTGCGGTTCGGCGCCATGTTATCGGGACGTGAAGAAATCTGTTAATATAGATGTTGATATTCAGCGATAACATTAATTTTAACATAGCTGCTTGCTATGTTATTAATAACTCACTTGAATTTTGAATTAGCTGCTAATGATTTAACTTCAACTGTACACAATTTAACATTAGCTGTTAACGATTTAACATCAACTATTAAGGATTTAACATCATCTGTTAACGATTAAACATTATCTGTTAACGTTTTAAAATTATCTGTTAAACATCTAAGATAATCCGCTAACGATTTAACATTTTCTGTTAACGTTTTAAAATTTATTTTCTGTTAACGTTTTTAAATTATAT